ACCTTTTCTTCTGCTTTTTACAAATGCAATAGATAGGAAACACAAATAAACCTGCCAAAAGAGGAAAATAAGAAGAAAACCATAATTAAATGCAATCCTTTGTGCGCACGTCATATTCTTTCAATGTACATAGAGTATTCAGATGCAGCTTTCTATGTCTCAAGAATTTACACAAGGCATTTGGACAAGCAGAAAAAATACTAGGTCTGCAGTAGTCTCTTTGGTAACAAGTTAAGCTACGCTTTCTGCTTACCTTACAACAAATGCCCGCTAACCCCACTCCCATCTCTGACAAATTAATTCCTGCCCCATGCTGTTGTGTAAGATACAAACTTTTAAAAGCACTTTGGCAATCCTTAGATCTAAATCCAAGGCTGATTTAAATAAACTAGTTTTCAACCAGTTTCACATCCAATAGAGGCAGCATGTTATAGCTTTACTTTTTTTTTAAGTATTACTTATTTTTACAAGCGTCCTTATCTGTTGTGAAGCAATACCAAATATTTATCCTCGTCTGAGGAGAGAGCTACTTATTCTTAAAAGTCTTTTGAGAGAAAGGAAGCTGTAAAAGGAAAAATAAAGAAATAAATCAGATTTATTCAAGTGAAAAAGTTTGTCATGAGCTACTCTTTCAAACCCAAATGAGAAGCGTCTCCCCATTTCTCTTGCCGCCAACTGACTGAAATAGTGAAAGAATTCTTTTTCAGACACGACTACAGTTAACAACATGTAACAAAAGACTGCTACAGTCACCAGGGTCCTTGCTTTGCTCAATAGCCTTGTAAATGATGTAAGATGGTTTTCAGCTATGATACTGAGATTACTTTAATCAGTTGTGTTGGCAGTAAATATCGCTGTCATTACCTCAAAACCAAAACTTTCCTATAAATAATCAATGTTTTTGGAACAGCTCATACAGCTCTTCTTGATTGTATCTTATCTAGCCATACCTAGGATGGGACTTCAGTGGCACACTGGGTATTAATCCTATTGTATTACTGCAAAACCCTCTTAATTTTTAATATAAGCAAAAGAGCATTTTTTTCCCAGCATAGATTATACCAGATTGCTGAGCAAAATAAGATTTACTGGTATTAAAAAGTCTTTACTGCCTATATTTTTGGCATAAAAATACCACTAAAAAGAATAAATACTTAACATAGATATCTCTGTCTCTATATATAGATATCTTCAGTGAATCCAACTCAGCATATTGATACAAGAAAAAAAAAGTATTCTTTATGTAACTATCCTGGTAGATTTTGGCTTTATTATATCAAAATATAGTTGCCACATCCCAGCATGCCTCAGGGCTGGGCATACACTGCAAATTTTCAATGGAGTAAGTAGAGGAGTTGTGAAGCAGCATGATCCCCGATTGACGAATTACTGCCAACTTAAACAGTGGATATGCACTTACATGAGCAAAATTATATATTTATCATTACGGCTTATTTCATTTCTGTGGGAGAATTCAGTTATGACAGGCAGAGAGAAGATTTGCTAGAGTAACTACATCCACATTAATACCACTACGTTAATAGAGTTTTGATACTATATCAAATCAGTTCACAGTATGTTTTTTTTGGCAGCCTATGCACTAAATCAGTTTTTGAGGTTGACTCATCCCAATTTGCTGCTTTGTTGTTGTTGCATCCAGACTGGAGGGCTTTTGGGACTATGGCTAGTGCCCCAAAAAATCTTGTAGCACACATGACCAAGAACTTTGAATTGTGATCCACTGGGGTGATTAAAGGGAGGGTCCAAGTCAGCCAGTCCCCAGCACTATGTTTAAATTACTCTGGCCTTTTTACTTGTTTAACTATACTAGTTCAAGCCTTAACAGCCAAATAACTGTGTGTGTGTGTGGAGCGGTGGCAATAAATAAAGCTAATAAGCATAAAACCCATGTAAGAAAAAAAATATTCTAAAGATGATTTTTTCAGGAAAAAGTCATATGCTTTATACTAAAATGGTATCTATGAAATTTGTACTTTGTGTCTATCTCTTCGAGGTGAAATACTGAGATGTCATACTGAAAATCACTGCAAAATCAGAATCAGGCTCATTCACATATGTAACTCTTACCTATTACAACAGCTACGGCTCCCAGTGCCAGTCCCAGAACCAGTATTAGGGGTGTAATAAGTAGTTTTCCAGCTGAAATGCAAAATTCATTAAACAATTCAAAGGGGGAATTTTATTTTTCCCTTTCCAACCATCCATAAATATTTCGACATCTGACTCCCAAAACCTGGTTCATTTGTTTTAATACTTTACTAGGATTCTTATTTGTAAATTCGTCCTACAAAAGCTATCACCACCCAGCCAGCTCCCTACACACACTTCTTTTTGCCCTCTTTACCCACGAACAACTCTCCGAGCACAGCTCATTTTGTACATTAACAGTTAGCTTGCATTTACTTCTGTTTCCATTCCGAAATCCCTCTGGCATCGACAGGAATGTGATAGCTATAAAACTACTATCATTTGGCTTCTCCAGAATCCTACTGTACAGCAACCACCCTGGAAAGCTGCCAAGCAAACCAACATCTTGGGAGACTTTAGGTTAGCTCAAGGAGATGAGACCATCACCTCTAAATACGCTTCTGCTCTCTTTAAAAGGCTACGGTGAAGTCCTCGTGTACAGTTGCGATTTATGTCTAAATCAAACCACTGCCAAGTCTATTTTGGATCAACGTTTAAAAGGGTATGTTGCTGCTCTTACCGTGAGTAAGGCAGCGAGGCTGTGTAGCACATCCACTAGAGCACAGACACTAAGAACAAATAAAATATGCTCATATTCTTTACTTCCGATGAGTTTATCATATGTAGAAGTGCACGGAAGGAAGGCAGGGCTCCTTCTGAAACACCTACATTGAAACTCAGCTTTGAATCCAAGTTATCTTTCTTGCGTTGAATCCTTTCAACTGAATGGCAGAATCTGCCTGGCTGTGTTGGGTGAGCAGCTGGATCAAAGATGTCACTTACCTCAGCTGTTTGAAAACGCAGCAGGGCAGGCATTTTTACTGATCCACCAGCAGTTTGATCAGAGATTTGAAATTAAGCAATTCTCTAAGTTAAGCATGTGTTTGAAAAATCACCTCTAGAAAGGGAGGAAAAGTGAGTTTGTTACCTCTCTCTTCCCTGCCCTTCCCTCTCTCAAGTCACTTGTATCAGATTTCAGCAAATGGATTACTTCACTCAGTAATGATGCAAACCTCTCCATAACCTGAGCCACTAATTTGGGCAGTCTGAAGGAAAAATGAGATATTTGGGAAATATTTACAGTGGTTAAATGAATTGGTCCTTTTTATGCTCTGTTTTGATAGCTTTTAAATTTCATAGGAGTGTTGTGGGTGGGAAAGATTAATTCCTAGAAGAAAAAAATTGGCAAGTATTATTGGTATTACTGTAGTTGCTAAGCATCCTAATGGTAAACCTTCTTGGGACTCCACTGTGCTGCATTCTATACACAGAGAGGTTGTCAAATAAATTATTCAAGTGTAGACAGGCAAAGGAATACAGAATGATGGAAAAGCTCAAAAAAACCTCCAATACTGAGCGACTGAAAACATTTTAAAAAAAATAACCAAAGCCTTTAACAATTTCACAGTAAAGCTTATAAAACACTGTTTTAAGGTGCAAACTCTTGACTTTATTAATAACCATATTATTAGAATGTTAGAAAATTACAACTTTTGGTACCAAAATTATTAAAAACTTAAAAACACTGAACTGGTGGGTAAGTACACAGGAGTCTGCAGAAAGGGCTAAGCTAGCTTTTGACTGGAGTTATGTCTTTACCCACACAAAGAGTGGTTCTGAAGCTAATTCAGTTTAAGAACTTGTTTACTTACATTTGACAAACTAACTCAGAGCTGAAACAAAGCACAAGTGAGCGTCTTTTTCCTTCTGCCTGTAAATACAAAGTTACGAGTATCGTGTAGTTCTAAGATCTTATAGGATAAAATGACCATTCACTGTCATGGGACAGTATCTTCCTTTGGTTATCAATGCATTCTTTCTAAAGGTTAAACTTTAAAAAAAAAAAAACAAACAAAACATCTTTACTCCTTCTATATCTACCACCCTTAAATCCTTTCTCTTTCTTTACCTTTGTAAACTAAAATTAAGGGACAAATTAACAGAAGGCGCACAAGACTCACACAAGTTATCATCAGGTAAGAGTACAGACAACAGCAATCACTGCTAAGCAGCAGATATGTACCTTTTACTCGAATCATTTTATCAGCATTGTATGAAACAATTATGAAATGCTCCATTTTACACATCTGAATTGAACATTACTTTACAGTCAATTCCAGTTTGACACGTCTTTTGTCATAGTGTGAAGGATTATGAGGCTCTTAATCATAGACGGAATGGTGGCACACCAAGAAATGCTGCTGAGACTAAGGACGTTTATTGCAGGCACTAAAATTCCCAAAGATCCACTGTCCTATGTCTGTTAGCCCTGAGGCTGCAAGTAGACAGACCAAATGTAAAACCTGCCCCAGAGCTGAATAAAATCTTGTGTCATTAGTCCATGTGGTGAACTCAGCAGTAGGTCACGATAGCCAGTTTGGTCATGTTCAAAGCTAGTTTTTAAAGATAAGTTAAAAAGAAATGGTTGTAAATAGAACAAACCTAAAAAGGGAACCTTTTTACAATTCTATGCAAGTTAATGGCATACAATTCTCTGAGTTACTCAGCATGAAGATTTAGACAACCGTGATAATGTAATAACTGTATTTGCAGGTGTCTCAGAGGGGTTGCATTACTTGTGATATAGAGAATGATGTTTTTCTGCAGAATGAGGAAACGTTTAGAGAAACATGAGGGAATATTTTCCCCTCGCATAACTTTGGGTTTGGTCACAGGTTTTAGGGTAATATATACAAAACCACATAAATCCTTAGAGAATTCTTTGTCATCTGAAAAATTAATATACTAGCTTTAGAAAACAAATTTAGTCAGTAGCATATAAGAAATATAAAGTTTTGTCTTCCAAGTCTAAATATTGTTATATGTTTAAGCAATAGAGCCACTAAAAGTATCTACTTACAGATCAAAACAGTCACATTTATGTAAACTTAAGTTCTAATACAAGTTTGCATCTGTTTTTAAAGAATCCTACCAGGTGTATATAGGAGACTTACACATCAGATTGACTTAAATGATAATGTTGCTAATGAAGGTTGGATCCTAGAAATAAATGCATGCTTCCTTCTGCAGTGCTCAAAGCCATGCATACATAAAGTGAAACCTGCACTCTGTCTTGGGACAGGAGTGCATGTCAGATCTGAAAACAGGCTGCTTTCAGAAGCCTATTTGAAATGCTGTTTACCTTGCAAAAAACTTCATTTGCTTTACTATCATCATTACATGTTTTGTCCTGTTACACTTCCACGAAGTACCTAGCAATTGATTTTGAATATAATTCACCCACCTGAATTCTGGTGGTACTTAAGTGGCATCTTAAGTATGTGTAAGACAGCTGAACATGTTTTTTCTTTCTGTGCAATTCATCACTAACTGCATTTATAACCAAACACCCTGCTTTCAAGAACTTCGCCAAATAATTACTACAGAGATGAAATTTTTACGTCCGCTGGGACTGAAGGATAAAAGCAATTTCACCTTACTGTACTGGTCACAGACAAAGTTTCTCTAAAAAAATATGCTGGCTAAAGAGGGGAAAGAAATGTCAAATTCAGAGACCACTTCTGCTCCCAGCTTGTTTTCTTCTCCCTATGATTTCTATTACCTTTACAAAACCATTGGTTTATGAAGAAAAGTATGTTTGAATTTATGCTGCCATAAATGCTTTTCCATTATTTTTATTATGGAACCGTTTGTGATCGTAGGTACAAACATTTGCTTCTCAGTGGAAATCATGATAGCATGCCAGCCTGCCATGAAGTGTTCTTTCCTTTCTACACACCCCATCCACCCAGATTTGGTAGAAACAAGCCAAATAACCTTCCCTACAAAATCACCACATTTGCTTAGATAAGTATTTCCCCTCCACAGCAAGAGAATAAAATAAAAAGTCACAGAAGAAAACTTATCTAGCAACACCTCACCACTCTCCTACTGACAGCCAAAATAATGTCCTCGTAATTTCCACTACTTAGTTAAGTAGCAGAGGCATTTTACTACAGGAAATCCAACCTTTATTTCTTGCTACATGTGACTTTAAATTTAGAGACTACACTTCTAATGGCCTATTTCTCTGCTACCATCTCCTCTTTCTAACACCTTCTGCTGACTCTCAGACTGTCAGTAACACCTGCTGATGATAATGCTCCACTCTTGCCTGGTAAAGCCTTAATGTATTTATATTTACAGTTCTGGCTACCAGGACATCTCCGAGCCTAGGCGTGATCCCTAACTGGAATTAGTCATTTCTTGATTTTCAACTTGATCTTAAATGATTACAACTAGGAAGCTTCAGTTCAAAACAAAGCAACAGCAGAAAGAAAAAAAAAAAAAAAAAAGATCAAATATCATGACAAAGAAAAATCTGATGGAGGGTCTATAAAAGAAAGATATGAGAGGGTAAGCAAGCTATTATTATTTACTCAATTTTATGATAAAAGAAATAACCAGCAATCTATTAAAAAACCAAATAACACAAACACCACAAGGATGAAAGTACTTTCTCTACACAGTGTAGTGAAATCTACATAGTGAAATCCTACAGCCCCTATCAGAGACAATGTGGAAGCCAAAACTATAAATAATTTAGGAACTCTGTATGTTAGTGAAGGATACATCTATTGATAGTTATTAAGTAAAGGTTTAGATACAAACCTCAACTAAGGAAGCAGCTAAAACCATGATTACTGGAAATAAACAGTGACTGAGATCTTATTTCTACTTGACTGCTGTTGTGGACAAACTCAGACCTTTACAACTTCGCAATTAATTTGGGTTTTTTGGGGTTTTTTTTGTTTGTTTGTTTTTAAACACCTCCCCTCCCCCCAATCTTACATGTGCCCAATTTGCAGATCAGTTCTGTTAAAGTTTTACAAGGACAGGAAATCTTGTCAAATTTCCACCATTCAAGATGGCAGAATCCACAGACTAAACTGACACAGTATCAGAGTTTGGGATTATACCGTCTCGAAAAAAAAAAGTCAGGAGATAACACCTTACAACAACATAATGCGATCTTAAAAAAAGTATGTGCGTGCCCACATGTACACTTGGGTGGAAAAAAGTTTTTAAAAAAATCAAACCACACAACCCTGTAAGTCCAGAGTAGCTCACATAATGCCAATCATAGCCAAAATCTAATCCAACAGAGGAATAGCAGTGTGATGAATTCCCAAAGCCTAATCTGATGTAAATTGTTTAAACTTTTATTTTTTTTATTTCCAAGCATGAATTCTGTTAGGGCTCTGGAGTGTTTTGGTAGTTATTCACACATTGTATCAGGATCAGTATTAAAATGTAGATAGGGCTCTAGAGATAACTGAGGGATTTAGAATCATGGGTATCAACGCAGAATTCTTTGAATCATCGTCAATTTGGGTGTTAAGCTATTGTAAAAATAAGGGCAATTACTACATGTACTGGGAGGTTCAGCTAGCTCTGTCTATTCAAATGATGACCATTCCTGTGGAAAATAACACCGTATGACAGAAGTAGTCCCAGAGAGGAATTTTTAACTGAAAAGCCTATGAGAAATTTAAGCTGAGGCTTTAAGCTTTGCTAATCTTTCTTGGTTTGCTAATTAAGGCAAACCACAAGTACACTTGCAAACAGGCAATGAAAGTAAAATATCTTATACCTTCTCTATGGATGTTTTTATAAATACAAACATATACACCTTCACCACTGAACTTTAACTGAAATATGCACTTCCACATTGCTTTACTGCCTCCAAGTCACTGTTTGGAAATAAACTAATTTTCTTCCTTACTACTAAAAGCTGTTTCTTTTTAAAAGGAAAAGGTTGTTCCTAAAACAACAAACAAGGAAAATAGAAAATAATTTTAATAATTGTTATGCACATGCAGTACCTGTATTTTGGACTTTGTATGTGGCATTAAAACATGCTAACTGCATATTTAGATAGCTGTCATGTAAACCACTGGAAAAATGGCAGATCTATGTTTTGATAAGAAACACTTATTTTATATTTGTATATCAATTGTACATAGAAGGTTTAATCTTTGAATAACCCATGACTCTGCACGTGAGCCGCACAGAACTGGTAATGTCTGAGCACAGTCCCATGCTACCACAGATACTAATTCCACCAAATGTACCAAGATTTATTTTAAAACAGCTTACATTGTTGGCCACTGTGGCTTTTACACAAAGCTCTTCTGAAACCTTACTTTGAAATGGCCCTTGAATTTTAAGCTTAAATTTATTCATGAACAGATTATACCCATGTGTTCTAACGTCAGCATTGTCTTTATCTAGAACTTCTCATGTATTGGCATTTATCTCTACAAAATGTATCAGAGTAGGTACATCCTATAACAAACTTTTATCCACTTTCCTATTTATTTTTATATTTTTAATTCACCTCTCAAAGTTTGTTCTAAAGCCTTGCAAGTTCCTGAGGTCAAACTAATGGGCCTAGATGACATCGTCATTTGTTAAACTAGCATTCCAGGTTTGGGAGTCTCCCACAGCTTCGCAGATCAGCAGTCTTATTACCAGGCCCGTGAGACTGTGTGCCAACTCTTGTGTTACTCTAAACTGGAAATCACCTAGCTTTCTTACTGGAACATGTTTGGCTCAGGAGTATTGTTTTCACCACAGGTCTGCTGACTGCTATTTCCATGTGCTCAGTCTCTTACCTTTACCTCTACATTCAACATCACCAGTTGATAAGCTCAAAGCATTTCTTCATCCTAGCTGAAGTCCAAGTCATCTTCTATTTCTATGCTTTAATTCAAAGTACCAAAGGTTCTATTTGCTGTAACGGGTCCCCGGTTTTTGACACCCAATACAATCATTTCCTATAATGTTATAGATAGCTTTACATGCTGTAAGCTCACTACAATGGCTGAAGTTAATGCATATGCAAGATATGACATAAGGTAACAATCTACTTTATTATCTATTTTTCTTGTGCTTCTATAGGTTGAGATAGGTATACACCTAGTTCAAAAGCAAATTAGGAGTGCGTTTTTTTTTTCTTATTTGAAATAAAGTTAAGCTTTTGGCATTATATTACTGTGAGATAAATTAATGTGTATAGCCGTATTTTGTTTTAAGCTGGATTTTAACTGAAGCAAAGCCAACAGTTAAAAGGTAAGTGTCCTCCTATTCAAATAGGCTAACCGGAGTAGTTTGTTTTTTCAAAGCCACAACAGGTTAAAATCCAAACAATGCTTTATTCAAACAAATCCATGACAGAGGTTCACTTAAAAAAGGTTCCTGCTCTGACCCATTTCTCCTATATGCTTTTAGAATAACAATCACAGTCAGCAACATGCATAGTGACAGTATTGTTCCAGTTTGCTTACATATTATTAAGAAGGGTTTGGAAACAGAAGCTATCAAAAGAGGGCACAATACTTATTCATAACAGTCCAGGGAGTACAAATGCTATATACTTAAATATACTTAATAAACCACCTCCTGCATAGCTAAACTGGCTGCCCATCCGATACTTTAAACCAATACTCCTTATTTAACTATTATTCCTCCCCCCCAATCTCCTCATTGTGCAGTTCTCCACAAGGAACATTTATCCACTCACCACAGACAGAGCCTCGCACTAATCTCCTTAAATGTGGTCTCTCGGGGAGGTAGCGGTATTTGCATCCAAAGATACTGAGGTTTGAGGTGTGATCTCCAAAGAACCGGAGCTGGCGGTATCTCTCCCCACAACGGTAACAGAAATTAGTGTTACACTGTGAACAGGTCATGTGGTCACACCCTTCTGTTCTCTGGATGTGGATCTGTATGAGCAGAAGAAAAAAATAAAAGATTTTTTCCCCCCTCCCTAAGCACAGGAAAGAAGGCAGTACCCCGTGCAATCCACGCATCTGATGAAAAGACACCCCAAGCTTAACTCAGCGTTTGCATTAATTAATACTGCAGCTATCCTACGACAATAATGGTTTTCTAAGGCATGTTTCAGAGCATCAAATGTGAGTTATAGTTATTTCCAGATTTCCATACATAGTTTTCTATATAATCCTCCTTCTTTGTTTAAACAGTCTGTGTATCAGATGAAAATCTGAGTGATCCTTGCCCTTACTGAAAACTTGTTTTTATTACTGAAGCAGACACATTAGCACTAAACTTTTTAAAAATGAAAGCAGCACAGTAAATATAGTTATGAACTCCATTTGACCCCTCCACAGATGGGTTTCCTTTTTATGCCACCTGTGGCCCCACTCCCTTTGCCATTACCATCACAAATTGGTTTGGCATTTTGTAATCAACACCAGAAAGGCTCTGCTCTTAGAGTTAATGATTTGAAAAGTATGGGATTTTTTTTTCTTTTGTAAAAAAAGAAAGATTCCACAAACCATGTAAAAGAATTATACCAAGCTCTCATAATGCCCACAGTATAGCATGAAGCTGGGCTGCCTAGGTTCTGCATCCAACTTTCTGGTGATTGTCTACACGGAGATACAGGAATGGAGCTACTTATGCACTCTCCTGCAAAACTGGTACATTTACCTACTTCGCAGATTTGGTAAGGCTTCAGTTCTAGTTAATAGTTCTGAGAGTCTTAGGAGATTGGGTAGTCCTGGAGCTGAGTATTTCACTAAATCAACTACGATTACCCAGCTACTTCTACATCTTGCCAACTAAAAATATAGCTAATACGGTGGTAAACACATGCTTTTCCTAGATCACAAAATTGCTGAAGACCCTCCGTCCCAAGACCGTGCTCCACAGTAGAATGGCAGATAAAATTACTGAATAATTAAGGTCGGAAGTGACCCTCAGAGGTCATCTATTTTAACCCCTAGCTCCAAGCTGGGCTAACTTCAAAGTCAGATCAGATTACTCCAGGCCTCATCCCACTAGATTTTAAAAATTTCCAAGTATGGGTATGTCGCAGTCTCTTTGAGCAACCTGTCCCATGCTTCACCACCCTCCCTGGGAATACCCCCTCCGCCTTACATTGAATTGGAATTTTATGTGTTGAAACTTGCAACAGATGAATGAATACTGCCTGAAATTCTTATCCCCATCTACATGTATTTATTTTGCAAGGAGGTACAGGTAAAGACAAGACATCACCACTCAGTGGCCCTGCAAGCACCAGAGACACTGAAAGCTCAGGTACAACTGAAACTTTTCACCTCAGGAAAGGCTTGTGACTCCTGGGGTATCCGACATTCTTGAGATGGTCAAGCATGTTTGTTCTCTGGTGCTGATCAGGGGCCATCTGGGAACTGAGAAATCTCACTCACTCAAACAGCCAGTGAAACTAGCACTTTATATGTGTAACAAAGTGATGTCTTCCACCAGCAATACTTCTGGTAAAAGATTCCAGGGCAGATGTAGTTCACAGTAGTTCCAGGTACACCTGCCAACATCCCTGTGCCAACAGCAGTGATCTCAGAATTCATATTTCTACACTTTCAAATGCTTCTTTTATACATAAGAGAGGAAAGACATTCACAGGAGAGGACTGGGCTATAAAATATTACTTTCTAGTGGGCAAGTATTCTACTGGACTTGCACTCAGAGAGAATGCAAACAGAAGGGATGCAAACAGACTGGCCAGGCAATTATCCCCCTCTACCCTGAGGAAGCCTGCTGTATGACACCTGCCTTGTTTTCCAGGAGCACCTGAAAAAAAAATACCATTGCTGATGAGCTTTATAAGCCACTTGACTTCAACACTTCCACATTTAAGCACTGACTGCAGGCAAAGTGGAACAAAAAGTTTACCAACTTAAGTATAACTTCTGAAGTTACACACTATTTTCTTCTAAAAGGGATATTGTCAGTTTGACTTTTGCTTTTAATTTCAGCTTTTATATGAAAAAATGTTGACCCTACTCATAGAGCCACAGTTTATTTAATTTAATTCCTAAAATATTAACTTGAACTTAATGTAAGGAATTTTAATAATGACTTAATGTACTTTAAAAAATTAACTTTAATTCCAATTAGTTTTTCAGGGGACTGAAATTCAGACAGCAACTACATAGCATTTTGCAATTTTAGAGATACCTTTCCTTATCTGCTGATTCAGTGACATATCTCCACCTTAAAAATGTAAACGAGGGAATCAGATCTTATGACACTAATGAGAATTAACTGGTTGTTTTCTTTTCTTTTTCAATCAATTCTCTTTTCTCTTCTCCAACTTACCAACCCAATCTATTAAGTTACCATCCATCTTAATTGAAAATCTGTGCAAGTCTGGAGCCTATAAAAACCCTAGATGCAAACAAAAACTACTTCACATTTCAAAAATAAATTAATTTTCTTTGGTAGTAAGAACTCCAAGGAGCTGCTGGCAATAGCTTTAAACATTCTACCATCAATACCTTTCAGACATACCCACCTCTTGGACACTGCCTGCCATCCTTCCAACCCACAATTTCCTAGAAGCACCCCAGCTCCAGTTATCCAGGCACCACTCCTAAATAAATCACTTCTGAATCTATTTGTTTCTGCTCTAAAACCTCCAGATATACTGTCCTCTTAAAACAAAGAAGTTGATATAGGATTTATTTTCTTTTGGACATATATTGCAGTTACATGTGCTTTATCTTTGCTTCTTCAAAACGTAAAGTATTAAAAAATTTTTAGTGAATACTTATCTGCACTTATACGAGTGTCTTCAAAACTGCAAATCTGGAACAACTGGTTGTACTTGCCTATATTTTTTGCTGCAAAAAAACCTTCCCTTTTTTAGTGAGGAGAGCCTTCATTAGAAAAATGAAATATAAAACCCACCAAGCTTAGATGTGGGGCTTGGAGCCCCTATCATATGCATGCAGGCTGACAATACCAGATGAACTTTGTGTGACTCAGTCAGGCTGCTTTCAAGCTTGAGACATGACATCTCACCAGGTCAACTTCAGCTCTGGTTCACATGGACATGCCTCCCTCCCCTCAGGATAATCCACTGACAGAGATGGATTACAAATCTATAGGTTGGGAAAGTGATCACCGATGGGTCAGATATCACCACAAGTGTTCCTGCTTCATTGGCAATACCGCGGCACGCAGCTGGAGGAATGCATGGGGCCAGGAATGCGGCTCGCTATAGTTAGCTGAGGCCGTGCGGGGTTTGGTGCCTTCTAACTGCAGGGTCCCCAGCAGCCCGGTGGGGATAGAGGAGGCAAGGTGAGAGCACAATGACCACAACCCCATTTCTGCCTCCAAGCATTCAGTCAGTCTTACTGGCTTCATCCTGCACCCAGAGCCTGCTCAGACCCAAAGACATACCCTCAACTTTACGGGGAAAGGTTTCATCGTGCAGAAACCTAAGAATGGCTCCCAGAACAAGAGGGGTGAAAACTACATGCCAACAGCAAAGCACACAGAGCTCAGTCTTAAAAGTGGCACAGTGGCTATTTCAGACCCTCACTTTACCCCCTCTGCATGTTACATTCCCTCTCACAGAAATCTTCCAGGGAAATCACTTCCAAAAGATCTGAGGAAGAGAATGGCCATTTCTCCTCCACTCTTCCTGAAGAAAACCTGGTGCACAGCTGTATCCCTTCATATAGAAGCAAGGACCCTCCTCTCCCCAGACGATGAGAAATGATTTGCAGAGCGCCTTCATAAATTATGCCCACAGTTATTTGATAACACTCATAAATAAGAACAGTGAATCCACAGATAAGAAGTACCTATTCCTTGATTTGCATTGACATCCTTGTTTACTTAAATTTCTGCTGCTGTTTGAAGCTTTCTAAGCTAGCGCCGCTGTTTAGCGTTTCCTCAGACCGTGGTTTCTGAAATCTGTGGTAAGATAACACCAACATGAAGTACTTCCTCTGTTTGCTGTAAAAACATTTGTGGAAAAAAGGTGCTTTGCTGCAAACACGTTGCCGCAAGAAAACATAAAAAACTCCCCTAAAACAGTAGCTGGAAAGACAAGTAAGATTATAGGTTTTATGAAAAGTCATCTAATAATACGTAGCAAATTTGTACTCATTAGTCAGCTCCCTCTAGAACAAGACCAGCACTTCGTCAACAAGTCTTGTTGAGAAGAATGGTCTATGCTGCATTTCTGAAAGCGTATCATAAATTTGGAAAAGGTTCTATCAAAACCAAAAAATATGTCAAAATTAATTTAAGATACAATTTTTAAAAAGTAGCATTTTGTAATATTTCCATACTGATATATAATCACAAAATGAATCTACAGTTATGCATTTTGTAACATTTTTATTTTCTTATGTAAGCATATCTTAGAGGGGCTAGGTAAATATTTCTATTTGGTGCACTAAAGCTGTGTCTACCTACAGGAAAAAGGAATGAAGTTCAATCTTATTTAACAGTGCCTGCTACTATTCACTTACAAAAGATTATGTTATTTCAAAGCACTTACCAAAACCACTGAAAAAATAGCTTGTGAATACCTGCCAAAGGATCTGCCTATATGCATATCCCCCCGCATCCCCCCGTGAAGAGCGCTCCCGTTTTCTCACCTGCATGCCCAGACAAGATAGTAATTGTGCGTTCTACTTTTGTGGTACAGCGACTGAAAGAATCTGTATGCATATATGCCTCTGTGTGCATATATAATTATCTCCAGAAGGTATCTGTAAAGCATGGCCACAGTTGTAACCAGTATTACGCTTTGGAAGTTACCAGTAATTTTACAAGTTATCTCAGTAAAGAAATTCTACCTTTACTGAAGTTTCTACCTTTAATTTCCGTTAACTTCAGCCTTAGTGTAAAGATTAAATACTAGTATCTTGACAGTTACAATTTATTCTTGACTTCTCCTCAACCTGTTTGTCAGTTTTGACCGTTGCAAGTTTTTAACCAAAACATGATAGAGGTTCTTGAAATAGAATATACACACATATTAAAAAACAACATGTTGTCACCTGAAACATTGCCTATGTGGATCTAGAACAAGGATAAATCAAATAGTATATTACCAACTCTGTTTTCTCTGTCACTCTTTATTTTATTTGGAAATATGACAGTCATCTGATTCAACGTTATTTTATATAGGAGTTTTGGGGGCATGGCTGGAGGGAGAGGAAGAGAAAGTATTAGCTCCAATCCTCCAACCCCAAATTCTTAACTGTTGCTACGTTTATCCCCATGTGCCCAGACATCTATTAATGCTGTGATGAAAAATGCTGCATAAGATGTGTTTTTTTATAACTACGCAATAACAGATTAAGGAAGAGAAAAAAGAAAAAAGAAAAAGAACAGTACCACTAACCACTGGCTAAGTGGTTCTTTTGATTACTTGCTGGTTATAGATTTGATTTAAAGACAAAGTGTATAACATAAATAATTTTGGAGGTTGTAGGCTCCATACTGTCTCCCACCATGGCAGAAGTTTTATTTTGTTTTGATTATGAGAAGAAACCTGAAGTCTTTTTGAAATTAATAGCCAAACTCATGAAACTTCAGGCTTCAAAATTAGTGACCTAACCTGCGTAAGTTTCAAGCATCCAACCTTTTCTTTTGAAGATGTTGAAAAGAGTTGTAGGTTTGGTGTTTTAAATTTAAAACTTAAGGATAAACACATTAGAGTTAGTTTTAGTTCCTTTCTCTTTCCAGCTAGCACCCCTCTTTCCCCTAGTTCTCCACATTCACAGTGTTTTTACTTGGTGCGTTTTCTTTTTTTTTGGGGGGGACAACTTATTTCAATAGTTACATCATTCTCATTGTCATAAAAATCTCAATGTGGACACAAGTCACAGAATTAAAAACAAAACGGATGCTTCTTCCCACTCCAAAAGGAGCAAAGTTTCTAAAAGGATATTACTGTAAGATTTCCCAGAAAGCGAACATTTTTAGAACTGACTCACAAACCTATCAACTCTTACCAAACAGCAAGCTGTTAAAACTCTGTTCAAATGTCACGTGTGCACAGGAGGAAAGGTAAACAACTGACTGCTGATTTCAGCTTTCTGAATTTTGCTTATTATTTGAAGTCTTTCAATTTCAAGCTATGGCATCACAGGCGTTTTTTCCTCAAGACTAAAATAAGATACTTAGTAAACTGATAAACATTCTCTTAATTGCAGAATGTAAGGCTCAAAGTGGGAATAAAGTATCCTTTGGACTTTTAGAAGTAAATCTTCCCATTCGATAATTATTTCCTACCAAATGTTCCAGTCTCCTTACTTTGTCCTCTCCATGAAGTAGATGTAGAGCAATAAATAGGTTCAGGTTAGGTATGCCCTTTTTTTTTTTAAAAAAAAAAAAAAAAAAGACAGACCACCACCACAGTGCTCTTAAGGTTTTGACTTACTACTACAACTACATAACAGCCACCTTCGTTAAGGGCAGCCAGGGTAGGGGTGTGTGTGGCTGTTTAATCTCTTCCAGGATAGGAAATACTTCCCACTACTCAAATGAGATGAATGACATTTCTACAGCACAGAACTGCACTTCAGTCTATTGAAAATTAAACTAATTTATGAGAAAGGCTTATGAAGAACTGACATCTAGTCCTAAAACCCCTCTGGTTTTGCCAAATCTTAAAGTCTCCCTTAGTTAACTTATTGATAGAGTACTTTCTGCCTTACTCAAAAACTCAATTCACCTAAGCTCTTTGGAAAACTTGTCAAAGGGCACCATATTTCTCTTAAAGCTTTACATGTCTTTTAAGTTTTATTTTAGGAAAAGTTTTTACTCTAACACACATTCATTATAAGCATATATTAAAGCCTTCTCTTATCATTTTCCTAATGCTTTTTTATGTGCAGAGATTCTGCAGGAACCAGCAACTAAAACTTCTGACTGGCTTTCCTCAATAGGTCATCAATAAGAATCTGCACAGCAAGCGTGAATTCAATTTCCAACGCCAAGCATAAGCTACAAACATTTACTTTAAATACATATTTAAATGGTTTGACGCCACTACCTGCAAGCCAAGGGAGAGCAGCTCACCTTGCATTTTGGACACTTCTGGGCATTCCTCTGCCCGTGTTCGATTTCGTTGGCCCAGTGACGCAACAGCTTGTCTCCCTTCTTGTATTCTTTGCAGTTAACACCTTCATGCCAGGGAGAGTGGCACTTGAAACACCAGACAAATTGGCAAGATGGACACTGGATCTGTATAAAGGAGAAAACACCACACGTTTGCAAGCTGGGTGATGACCCAAATGGAAAGCCTGTGTTAAAAGCACTGCTCTTATTTAAAGAGTGGGGCTGCCCAACTAAGGTCTAACATCTTTTGAAATGTGTGTTTTAGAAACACAAGAAGTTGTGGAAGCTAAATTGTCATTTTTCTTTTTTATAAGAGAGAAAATACAGAACTAATCATCTGAAGCCAGGAAAGGTCCCAATCAAAAGAAGCACAAGTAGTTTGGTTTAAGCACAGGAACTGCTGCCCAAATTCACTGCGTGGCTCAAATGCCAGAAGGTAAAATCTGGGAAGCTTATTCAATTGCCTCCAATATATGTGTGAGAGCACCTAAAAATTAGAAGCCAGTTTTCAGTGCGGTGGATCTCAGTCTTCTAGTTATAAACTTCACTGCCAAGGCTATCACCAGGGATTACCTGGTCTTCTAAAGTGGCTCTACAGACCCCAGACTGGGTTATGAACCTTGTATTAGAAATGGTCCTGCGGAAAGCGGCCAAGAGCAAAGGTCTCAAACAAGTGCCACAGCTACCACCTGGAAGTCAGGTACCTCCTTTTGCTCTTGATTGCATAAGGGTGAGCTGCAGCTGTGCCACACAGCCACCTGGTACAGCCTACACCTAATGGCAAAAACTACAAGCTAAGCTCCTTAAATTGAGAACAGATCTATTCCGTTTTAAATCATTGTGTCAAACAAGTACTATCATCACCTTGTCTTCCTCCAGAGCCTAGGGTTTTTTGTTTGGTTTTTTTTTTTTTTTTTTTGAAAAAAGCTATGGCAGCTGCTGTGTTTGTAGAAGTAATAAACAGAGGTACATTGCAGGTGCCTATCTGATGAAAGCCAGGCCTCCTACCTGGATCATGACTAAGGAAAGCAAGAACTAGAAGCCACATTAAACACAGGCACATCTACACTCCTGCAACATCTTCACTTCTGGTGTGTTTGGCAGCAAAATCTCTCAGCCTGAAAGAGGGGAAGGCACATGTCTCGAGTGACCGCCAAGCCCTGTCCACCAGCTCCAGTCGTAGCCCATGCTTGGCACTGGCCTGGCTTTGTACCAGCTGATGGACAGGACTGAAGAATTCAACCAGCCAAAAAAACCCAAAACTTTTTGGGTGTATCTGCATCCAGACCTGGTTCACCACCAAACCATGGACGTGTCTGTGCTGGCCATGCGTGGTGTGGGAGTGCTCTTCAGGAACCTACATCCTAGGGTGTAGTCACACGTGAAGTCCCCAAAATGTATTTCCAAAGTCCTCACTCCCACCAGTTATCGTGCCCTCTGCTCAGACACGTCAATTGGTGGTGTGCTGCCTCGGCTCCACTGTGAGTCCAAAGTAGGCGTTCTGATCTCCCTTAAGTATTTTGCTGGGGGACAGCCAAAGTTATTATTTATATGTGCAATTCCTACATCCGTCACTACCAGCATGCTAATACAAAGCTGATCTGATCTCCGATGCGTGACTGAGAAATGAAGCCGTCTGCTACCCTTAATGCTATTCCCCAAGTTCTATACACAGAGATAGCATTTGGGTTTTTGCCTTTAATGTTTCACATTAAAAACCCAATTGATGCAATGGCTCAAGCTGAGCATTTTTACGACCCTAGCTGACGCATTTTTCAGTGGCTGTCTTTAACTTTTCCTGTAGAGAGCAAAGTGTCGTGGATTTTTTTTTCTCTTGTTGTTTTGGTTTTTTACACTGCAGCAGTGTGTAACAGCCATAGCTTCACGTGTATGAAGTGATATACCTCTGCACAGCACTGTTTAACCAAGTGTTAAACCTTTATTGGTAGACTGATATGGTGCTCAATGCACCACTTCAGCTTACCTCTGTATGCCAATCCACATCTACAGATCAGCAAATGCAACAATGGGAATTAATGGTCAAGAGAATTACTATTTTTCTCAGTACCCACAAGACAGCATGTCCCCCTCTAGGATCCCTTGCCTGGGCATAATGCTAAAGTGCAAAGAAGGGAAGCAGCATCAAGAAGTTGACAGATTTTCTTCTTATTACAACACATTAATATTTTAGTCAGTTACCATCTACTAGTCATTATCCTAGTTAAAAAAAAAAAATCATACTTGAATTTAAGTGTTAGAATACATACATTTCCTTCATTTCAAGCATACTCAAAGAGAGTGTAATATTAAAATGGATGAAATTCTGATATCCTGTACCCGGTGCAAGTATGACTTACTGCTTTCTACAGCTACAAAGTGACATTTTTGATAAGGCACATGGTAAGATACCTCATATAGAAGAAAACTGCACTTATCACATGCTTCCTGTCAATCAAGTAAATTACTGAAGACACAGGTAGGCAGCACAAAACCAGGAAAGAACAACAAATGAAACTTGTTTGTAAGGAAAGTTGCAACATGTGGATTACAACTACTGTTACTTTTTGCATGAACACACAGTCATGGCCAAGTTAAAGTAGAATACAAAAGCAATACAAAATATAACTGGTGCCCTTTCTCCGATTTCTTGGTCTACTGGCCCAGATGCTAAACCAAAGGAAATATGCTACCCTGCATCTCTGCTTCCCAGATGAATTTTCCTAATAAAAACAGCTTAATAGGAAAGAGGAAAATTCCCACTCTGAAGAGCCTAAATAAGTTTGGTTAGTAGCAATAAATATGCTAACACAGAGCACTGATCGACATTTCCACAATCCTTTAGAAGCTAATATACACAAACCAGGTAAGATTACTAGCAGCTATCCTGCCCAATATCTCTGGATCTTTCTCCCCTCCACCCCCAGCTTTGAATTTACGTTTTTCAATAATGCATGTCACAGTGACCTACTGCTGGGAAGACAGATTATAGCAGGCATCGCACTGTATTACTCAGTATTTCTTATGCCTCAGCCAAAGATGAAGCTTGTAGCCACAATTAAGCGTTCTGCAACCTGTAAGCTTTTATCAGTTGCAGTATTCAGACATTTGCGATGGAACATGAATATTAAAAAATAAAAACCCAAACCAACAGATCTACGAAGCTGCAAGTTAAAAATTCTTTCTTAAACAAAACACCAACTTAATTTAAAACATATGTTTTGTGGGTTTGGTTCTGGAGTTTCTTTTGGTGAAAATCTGACACAAATTCATTGCAGGCTCTATCTTTCTATTATAGCATGTATATAATTGCAAGAAATATAGCAGCCACCAGGATATATATTTAATCTTATACACTCACACACACACTGACTTTAGCTGTTTCCAAACACATTACTTAGTACTGAAATACAGGATGAGGCTATAACCACAGGAACTCAGAATAACATTTGTTACCATGAATGGCCCTAACTGAAGTAAACAAGTGGGAACTGTCTACTTCATTACTAGGTTTGAAGTTCCTAGTTTCCTCTTCCACCTGCCACACCTGACAGCACCTTTCACAAAACTGAACTGGTAAATAGTTTTTACATTTCGAATAGGCCACTTGACTTCTGTTGTTCAACACTGTCTGAACATACATTAAGCAGACAAAGAAAATTAGTTTATTTTATGAACCTTATTTTTCTTGCAACCAGTGGCTGCAAAACAAAACCCTAAACCGATTCAAACTTGGATGCTGTGTGACACCAGTGTGCTTAAGAAATAGGAACACAGCAGGGCAATTGCAGCAGTCTTTCAGATTCTTATTCCATACTTTCTCTGCTTTTCTGAAAGAAAGAAAGGTCAAGTATGATTTGCTTTATGCTTCAATTTTAGTGCATGAAATCATCATAATGAGGACACAGAAATGCTACCTACATATAATTTAAAGCAGAAAAATATATTATAGTCCAGCAAAGCAGACAAACTATATCTGAAAAAACCCAAACCATTAATCTAGTGTTTTTTCAAATACGTTTTTCCTCACACAAACTTTTTCCATTTATTTTACAATTTCCATTTCAGTCGATCAGAATTGAGAGGATGGATATATACACAAACTTCTATGCCATCTGGAGGTCAGTCTCCCTTGAAATAGAAAAGATTACACAACTTCTCATACTAACCCTTTTGGTTCTCAGCTTTCTGAAACACTGACCTTTGAGGCTAACATTTTCCATTTTCTTAGCTAGCCTCTTTACAGCAAACTATTCTAACTATCATTTTCTTCACCTCCCAGGAAAAGACCTTTCAGAATTGGTAGGTAAGAGAAACACAAAACACTGCTTGATGTGACATGACGATAGCAAAATTGACTGCACGTTAAAAATATTCTGACAGCCTGAAGCTGCAAAAAGCTTAGTGGGATTTTCTGCTGCGTGGTGGAACACTAGCTATATAATAGGATGGCTAAATTAATTGTGCAACTAACTGATTACATGAATTACAATCTGTAGCTACAGCTACCCAGTCACTTTATTCCAAAATAAATACAGGCTCCTACCAAAACAGCTGCCTCCTCCTTGTCACCAACCCATCCCCTCTCTTTTACCAGCTGAAAATAAGCAACAAAACAAACAAATCTTATATCCCATTGGAGCTGATCTTTGATCCAGCTCCCAGTGTGACACCAAAACATCAACAAAAGCACAAGCAAGCTGGCAGGAATGAACAGCTGAAAGCAAAGTGGGAGAACACAGCAAAATCACCACGTCCACAGCAGTTCAGGCTCAAAGCATATCAAAGTCATGTGTAGCCATGAAGATATCTGCTACTCAAGGTTAAAAATCTGATCCAAAAGGGGGGATACAGATACGAACTACACCAATCTACTCTACCACAGCATCTTTGCAGGTACAGATTCCTACCAGCTCTAGAGCAACAAGTTTCAGAAACCCTTGAGTAGTTCAAACAAAAGATAGTTTATATAAGTTTATATAACAACTGTATTGAAAAAACATTTATGTTTCTAAATCCAAGCACTCAAGCCCTTCTTTGATGTGATGTGTATCTCTCAACAGGAGTGAACAAGAAAACTTCACTATGAACCTCACAGTTTGATAAGGCAGAAAGAGTTTAAGAATCAAGAACTGCTTCTTCATGGCAGGTGGCAGGTAAAAAAACTAACATTAAAACAACAGGTTAAATCCAGGGCTTAGGGGGAAAAAAACCTCACCGCCGCCACCCCCCACCGCAACCCGTCACAGAACAAGCCAACATACTCTTGCGAAACCTATATCTTTTCCATGCATAGAAACTGAACCACCGATTTTTCAATTTTTGCCCATTTCCTTTGCTCTTTGGCATACCAGCTTTGACAAAAGGTTTATTAAGATCTTGTCTACAACCAAGTCTTACGCTCCCAATTTAGGTCGTAAGAGACAGGGCAGGGGTATTTCCTTACTTAAAGCTGGACCCATTTGTGGTACAAATATTTGATATAGGAAACTAAATAGTCACAGATGCACTGTGCTGTCCTAAGCGGCACTAAGGGGAAAAGAAAGGTTTGGATAGCAAGTTTTCCTTTTCTTCCCCTCCTTCTCCCTTAACATACATGCACCAGCTAACTTTCTAGGCTTAGCACACCGAGACTTTGATCTCAAAAATGAAAAACAGCAGCAGCAAACTGATCTGCTGGGCTTAGATCAGTTTAGCTGACATAAACCAGCTATACTAAGGAAAATAATTCAATAACTTTGCTACCTCTTTAAATTTAGACGTTAAGTTTATTTATAATTTTAAATAGTGTATCAAATTTTAGGAATGCCATTAATAACATTTCAAAAGTATCTGTTCAAATGTACTCTTGGATTTTACAGTGTTTTCCTGTTGTAGTGTATAGGAGAGTGAAGGTACTGGCACTGAGCCCTTGTGTGCAGTGATCCTACTAGTAGGCTTGTGCGTAGACTTTCCCCATGCATGACTCAGTTCTTCTGAAGGCAGCACTTCCAGTGCCGGTGCAGAATTCCTCTGACACAATTGCTGTTTATATTGCTTGCATGTGAATACTCAAGTCTCCCAGTGTCCAGTCAGACGTCTCCTATCCTATATGTGGAAGAAAATGAGTCTGTACCTCCAAAAAGCCTATAATTCAAGGCACAGACAAGTTACCATACAAACAGTCACATGAGAATCTCAGAAAACTGAGATAATAATGGTCCACAGCTATGTGTGCATGTAATTAATCACAGATACACAATCCTATATATAGTCACCCTTTTAAATCTTATCCCTCCATCAAAACTCTTTCTTGTCCTAAGCTTAAAGTCACTAAAACTATAGCTATGCCAGAGAACAACACCGGTTCAGGGAGTACATTGAAGCCCTGGACTATGATCATCCATGCTCTTTGCTAGCACTTTCCTAATTACATTTCTGACCAGCATCAACTAGACATTCTTCCAGGCAACACCTGACCACAGCTTAAAGGACACATTTTGCCAGAGTCTGTTCCTAGTAGGAGGCTTGAGCTCTGCAGATCACGGCTACGCATAACGCATCACCACAGGACCAGGGCACTGCTTCTGGCTTGCACTATTTCGTGCATCACACAGCTTCCCATTCCTTCTGATTACGATTTGTATGGAAA